AATACGACCCTAAGTCACTCGAATGGCAAACGCGGCGGTTGCGTCACTAGCGCCGTGACGTCGCACCATTGACGCAATTGCACCCATCCGTTAAAGGCGAACTCATGTTAAGCGACGCTCTATGAATTTACTATCATATTTATACCTTTAATATCCGACATCAAAATATGGAGGTGTTACTATTTATCGATTTTTTTTAGAAGCAACTGGTTAATACCTACGAACGAGATACTTATACATATATTTATGTATGTGTGTATAATGTTTTAACGTAATAAGAGACCTATGGGCAGAAATCCCAAACGATAGTCAGAGCAGATCTTGGAACAGCAGGCGACTGGGTGTAATCTTTGACGACATGGCGGGATGAAATGTTGAGAAGAAGAAGTAGAACACAATATTTCATACAAATAAAATCTATTTATTGTTTCTCGTATTGCGTCAGAAAGCTGATCTAGTATCCTGTGTTAATTATATGAAATTTGGGAGCTTCGAGACCTATCAGACTCTGCTTATAGTCTTCTTCTTCTTCTTTATTTATTAGTGGCTTATTCTGTGTATTTCACAATTCCCCCAAAATCACGTAGGTAGCCTCTGCACGGGAGGAGTGGATTTATTTTCAAATATAATTTTCACCCTTACTGCTGTCTACACGAAGCGGGTTTATCTAAAACAAAGGACACAGTTAGAGAGGTACCCTTTATCCTGATTTTGGCAAGATGAACAGGTGTACAAGCATGCCCAAGCCTTAGGCGACAGATGGTGGATACGGCCTTACTAAACATTTTTTGTTTGAAAACCAGCGCTTGTTTGGGATACATTTTTGGATTTCGTGGTAGTATTTACCTGTCCGGTTTCTAGTGTTTTGCTAATCGACCTGCCATGATCTCAGTAGATGGTCATGCGCCAGGGTGAGGAGATCGTGGTGGAAAACTGTACCATAGATTGGGGGGCCACTGGTGATGGCCTGTTTAGCACATAAGTCTGCTTAATACTGCAGCGCCCTGGGATCCATGCCAGGATAATGTTAAATGATTTGAGTTGACATCGGTACAGTACTTCTCGGATTTTCAAGATAATAGGGAACTTGTTTTTGAGGCGGAACGGTTTTGCTCATATTGCCTGGAGGGAACTCTGAGAGTCACTAAAAATGATGGATTTACACAAATTATGGGATTCAACAAACTGGATTGCCTCAAGGAGAGAGATCGCTTCTCCGGTAAACAAAGAGGTTACTGCTTATAGTCTCAAAAAAGACGGAGTAAAATGACATTTGTAGTGTTGCCAGTTTTCACATAATTATGTAGTTGTTGTCGATAGTTTTATCTAAAGATTGTGAAAGAAGCTAAAATTTTACTAAAAATGTCTGGATTGTGAAAGTTAAGTCATTCTAATGATTACTAATGTGTTCTTTATTGCCTTCTTTATTCTTATTTTGAGAGTTGTCATACTAGTATTGAGATTAATATTTAACAAGAATAGCCGGATTTGATTATCTATATTGAATTAAAATAAAAAACTTTAAAGTATGTCTCCTCTTTGTATTTTTCATAAATATAGCTCTAAATACAGTGTACGTATGTATGAACTTAGACAAATTGACAATTCAAATGAATTTGAGCTCAATAATTGGATGAATAATGGGTCGAGGATGATCCGTCTTCAAAAAAGACAGACTATAGTTAAGAATCTAGTTTCCCATGATTTATATCCAAAAACTCTAAGTGGGGACGGTAAAGTCTCCCAGAGGTGGGTCCGCAGTCGCGGACAACCGCAGGCGGGGCCGTGGATCGTAAACCACGTGGCCACAGCCCCGTTCCATGCGGAGTGTGGGAATACCCGGGGTTTTTCAGTGAGTACGAGTCTCACATAACCACCGCGCCTCCCCGTGACGCGGTGGTATCCATAACGGATTTTGCCCCGGAAATAAAAAGATTTAAAAAAAAAGTACATTGTCCTCATTGACTTACAAATAAATGGACGACGGGTCTAATACAAAAACCACGAAAAAAATGTCCCAAGTCAACCTATTTAAACGTAGTGACATGTAAAGGAATATGAAAAAGCTAAAACGTTCAATTTAAATTGTAATGTCATCGCAGTACTGTCTAATTTTGCTTGCTTCGCTGTCAGTCGAACAAACGAAGACTAGAGCGTGAATGACGCTCTGTATACGATTTTAACGCCCTATAAGTTCGGACACTTTTTAGCGCGGACCCGACGTCCATATAATTGTAAGTCAATGATTGTCCTCTTAAAATTACTTTCGAGGTTATGAAATTTCGACCAAATGTTATGGAAAGTGTCATTTCGGACTACGGATAGGTAACCTGAAAAACCTGATAGCAAGCAGTAGGGCTTCCTGTAAAAGAGTCCATCCAGGTCACCTTACATATTTCTGCCGCCAAGCAGTAATGTCAGCATTGCGTTCCGGTTTGGAGGGGTAAGGGTACTGGTGAAATCACAGGCACATGGGAGTTGTCAACTTATGTCTCAGGGAGTTTGCTAGAAGACGTTGGTTCGAATCCAGCCAGATCGAAGGAATTTTTTCTAATTCCTCGATCTTCGTATTAATAATTTTAACAAACTAGTGGAGTAATTGAAACACCCTGACAATCAATAAATTTTAATCTCAATATAATATCAGTCAAAATTCTTCTGTAGCAGTTAAAACCCTGACCAAGTAACATTAATGCGTTAAGCAACACAGTAACTGTTATGTTTATTACAATAGTTATGCTAAAACATGACCAGTATTATTCACATGATCCATTGAACGTATCGTCATGTTTATTATCAATTGTTTAACTGAATTATTCACCCTTATGTGATATATTTTAATTTTTATCTTGAAGATGTGGTCACCAGTTAACATTTTGTTTATGATAAAAGAAGTGCGCATTTGATCTCCATCTTACCTGATGACGATGATGTAATTGGTGTAGTTGTCTATCACCTATTATAAAAACAATCGGCCGATCGGAACGCCTCTCCCGACAACAGTAACTTCCTAATTCGCGCCAAATATGATAGTTTAGCTCAGACGATGGAAAAAATAAATGTATTTTAGTGACTTTTTCTTAGTGTGCCGCTTCTCTACCAAGATTGGCGACCATCACGGCTATTAATATTTTTGAAGCTGCCGCACGAAGGAGGGCACGTGTGCTAAGGTGGAACCAGTCTCTCAGGTTCCTCAACCACGAGGTTTTCTTTCTGCCTCGACTACGGTTTACTTGTACTTTTATTTTAGTGGCAAAATGTGAAAAATGTCCGGATTTAGAATGTCCTCGAACATCAGATGCACGGCTGCTCTTCACATGGTTCTGATGTACAAACTCATGCGCAAAAAAACTAAGATCCGTGTCTACAAAACTGTAATTAGACCGACCTTGATGTATGGTTACAAAGCTTAGACACTGACCTTTAAAAAGGAAAATAAGTTGCTAGTGGCGGAAAGAAAATCTCACGGAAAATTCTGGGATCGACTTAAAGGGAGGATGGGAGCTGGAGGGCAAGGAAGAACCTTGAGATTGAACATCTAATGTCCGTTCTCTATATTGTGGGAGAAACTAAAGCTGCGAGATTCCGCTGGCTCGGACTCGTGGAGAGAATGGAATAAGATCGTCTCGCGAAGAGGGCTTATTTGGGACAACCGAAAGAATACCGCTACCGCAGATACCGCTGCAGCGATGAAGTCCAGAAAGATCTCAAGGACCACGGTGCTAGTGGCTGGAAGGAGCCAGGCTCAGAACCGGGAGGCGTGGCAGAATCTGGTGTCGGAGGCGAAGACACACTTTGTGTCAACGAAGTAAGTAAGTTAGTGACATAAAGTGACGTCAAAGGGCGCACACGTCACTGCACTCTTACTGCGTGACCCCGTGCGAGTAGTTACGTAACGTGTTTCGTCCGAGGTAAATAAGTCTATTATTAGTTGTGCTTTTGAGTAGTATCTTGTATTATTTTTCATTGAGTTTGTAAGTTAAAGCTTCGGAATTGATTTTTGCATTACAATTTACTTTATATTTCTTTTTATTTATTAGTACTTACGTAATATTTGCAAATACTTCATAAATAAAATTCAATTAGCCACAATGCACCAAGGAGCCTACATTGCCAGGCGAAAAGCGTATCTATGTGAGATACTATATCTTGCCACAGGGTGCAGTAGAACTACTTCAAGTTTACCGAAGGACAGGTAAACGAACCCCAAAATAAAAAACGAGAATCGATCAGTTTCTTCGACAGCTAAGAGTGGACTATGCAATAACGGTGTAAAAATACATTAAATGCAGCAAATTTGTTAGCAATGACCACTCTAGGATCTATAGGCTGACTTGTGATTCTGATTAATTTGTAAGAATAAATATGTTATTTCGACTTTGATTCATTGATGCTTCGAAAGCGTAATTTTAGAGAAGATTTTTAGTCCATTTTTTTATAATTTCCTATTAGTTTTTATTTGAGCTGTTCCTTTGAGGCCCTAGTATATTCACAGTATACGATTAATATTGAATCTATTATTTAGTACCATTATAAGTTTATTAGAAATCTTTTGGAGTCCGTGAGGACCCCATCCGAATAGTTGTGTGATTTACTTCGTAAAACTATTTCTAATTAAAATCCGATTATAGTGAAACCTTTATCATTCATAATACACACTTAAGGGCGTACTACACATGTTTAATATTGACTGACATTCCGAGTAACATTCTGATCATTCAATGTGCCGTATACGCGTTTTAGAGCGCACCAATCTATCATCCTGTCAGGACCTGCGTACGCGCACCTCACTGGCCTCCTGGACGTCTATATCAGTTTGATGGCCTTTACGCATTTGGCAGGTGAATGGAAGTTAAAATATCATATGGTATTCATGTATTGTAATCGACAGGGTACCCATATTCACACACAAACTTACGTATATATTTTTTACATTTTATATGTTAACCGAGTCTTATTCTATACTATAAATGTATGGCCGTAGAGGCACCCATTAACTGCCCCCGTGGCCGAACGGTTACCATGCTGGGCTGAATCCCAGGTTCGATTTTCGGGCCCGGAGAAATATTTGCATGGTTTACGTTTATTTCTGGAGGCGGCACATATACCAGCTGCTGGCGATCAGAGATCGTCGTCAAAATTGAGAATGCTACACTCATTCCTCTGTCACTGCCTGGCTTTTCATTGTCAATAAATATTTATAGATATCAGATGCGTATTTTTAATATAGGGAATATTATTATATTACCCACGATACAATGAGAAGACCTGTGATAACGTAAGAAAGAATTTTTGACACAAAAATGCCACATACACTTTGTGGTTGGTGTCAAATACAAAAGTAACAACACGTCAACAAAATGCATTCCGCGGCGCTTCCGCATACAGTTCGATTGATTAATAGCCTCAATTTGCGAATGATTGGGGCCTTGTTCATTGTTGATGCATTCGTTCAGGACATTCATCTACTACAAAAGGACAAACGCGTAAGGCAAAAGACAGTCTAGTGGCCATTGGCAGTTAAGAGTTTGAGTATAATAATACTATGTACTAGCGCGATTTTTGTAACTGGCTATCAATATAATATTCTAATTCTTTCTTTATTTTACTTCTACTTTAACTACGTTCTTAAAACTTTACTACGTTCGTCCTGTAACTTTATATTCTATAAAAAAATCACCAACAGCCTTGTCCTTCAAAATCGAAATACAGTAATGCTCGCGTTACTGCTTGGCGGCAGAAATATGTACCTACCTAACTAAGGTGTAATAATTAGATTTTGAAATCTAAAAACTATAAAAAATTAGAAAGATGGTTGATAGATACTGCTATTGAAATGACAAGATTGTGATTTAAAAAAATATAATTAGTAAAGTATTAAACGGCAAACTATCATAAGTTAAAGATAATTTGGAGAAATAATTATAGAAATAGAAACTCTGTCAAAAATGAAAAAGATGTTTCGTGAAATAGTGGTTTGAACGTCAAAGTCAAACAATAATTTATTCCATAGGTAAAATCTTTACACTTGAAAACGTCATTTTTTAAGCTACTCTTCGTTTACTGAGCCGACTTCCCTGAGAAGAACGAGCAAGAAACTCTAGGGATTGCTCTTTTCAAATAAACTTAAATGCTATGGAATACACTTTGAATCAAATTTGTGTGGATTCTGGAGCCGTGTCGTCTTTCCAAACATCTTTATCTAACAATTTTGTAATATGCCTTTTCAATCAAAATATTTTTAATGTAGTTTTTAAACTTAGGAAATGATAATCTTAATAGATGCTCCGGAATCTTATTGTAAAAACGTATACAGTACCCCATAAAAGAATCGTTTACCTTAGCTAAACGAAATCGTGTTATCATGGGTTTGTACTTAGTTCTAAGGTTAATATTATAACCTTCTTCCTTTATACGGGCATACAAAATATTTCGCGGGGGAAAATAAAAAGAAAATCATGCCGTGGTAAGAAACCTATAATTAGTGATAATAACTTTTTTATCACTTTGGGGAGAGTAGTACAGTATGAGAGTCAAATAAGTACAAGCGCAATATTACAAATCGGCTTCTGTGTTCCAGAAACCTAATAATCTTCTTCTTCGTGACTCTACTTCATCCTGCCCATTATCTATGTCCATCGGATGCGGCGCTGGTAGGAAGCTCCAGTTGTTCGGAGATCTAATCCGCCTACGGTCTGGGCCTTCTGCCTCTAGGTCTCTTTCCTTCCACCTTCACTGTCACCATCAAACGCTCCAAGTTATTAGCATCTCTACTTGCAACGCGACCAAAATAGCGTATCACAAGTTGTATGCAGATTGAAGACAGACGATATCCATTCTCTATCCTGAGTTACTCAAGAACAGAGACTTTGGTGCGGTGCTGTCCACGGTATACCTAACATTTGGCGCCAGCACCACACTTCAAAGGCGATCCTAACAATAAGTTATTTACATGGATAAGTGGTGATATGCACAAACATGGACACTCAACTAAAACACGTAAGTATAACGACTAAGTTACCAATGAAACAAGTAAGTAGAGGTTTGTTTAGGACCGGCCATGCTTCACCACACGCAGTAGAGACCTTACACGCTTCAAAGCACTCACGACCAGATTAACCATGTCAAGAATGATTTATTTATTCAATATGTTACTATAAATATAATTTTAGATCATATTCTTGATTAATATCTGACGACTTAGTCGCCATGTTGAATTTTAAGGACGTATTGTAATAAAACGGCTGGGTCTTGGAAAATCATTTTTTGACATGCAACAAAACGTGAAAGAAAAACTTTAAACAAAAGGTTAACATACTTGGAGGACAAAAATCCGTGGTAGTGTCCCGTTTAGCTCTTTCAAGTAGTCTCGATTTATGATGTTTGAAATAAATATTGTAAATAATAAACCTATACAAATGTATATTTACAAAGTGTAACCCCTAGAGTATCTTGCTCATTCTTCTCAGGGGAATCTGCCTTACGAATGATCAGTAGAGTTTAATCAATATGATAATTTGAGATGAACTTTCCTTACCTATGAAATAAAAAAGATGGGTCACTTTTAAATATCAACACTCGTTTGCGCTGAAATCACAAATTAGAAAGCTGAAACAGTACAACGCCAACAACTGACCTGTGTGTATTTATTGTAGGTAATAAAGATAAAATTTCTGACAATGGGGGACTGGTCCATTTGGTGGTGTGTGAAAAACAGCAAAACATCTTAATTACAAAAAAAAATTTGAATCACATTTCATCGGTAACTAAATAATAAATATGTAATTTTTAAATTTTCGTCCATTATAGAAAAGTTCAAAGTGACGACATCCGTCAATTGTTTCGAATTCGGACTGACCAATCGTAGGGAAGTTGTCACCGTAATGACTTGGCAGAATAGTTTTCAAACACTGTAATTGACATTTAGTCTCTATTTCAGGTTATATACTCGATGTCTTCTAACTACCAGTGCTAGCATTACAAAGGTTTTTTCCAATGATATCTAGTGACGGGACAAACAAGTCGTGTGCCTGGTGGTAAGCGACACGCCTATCTATATATATCTAATAGTAGTGTCACTCAGAGCACTTCCTTGAGCAGTGACTTCTTTCCCTTTCTGCCTTTAATGTCCTTGTTCTGTTGTTATTATAATCCTTCATCATAATATAATAAGTAAATATTTTTATAATTATTTATTTATGTATTTACATTGATATCATTGTGTATTTATTTTTTTTATTTATTTACTTTAAAATGATATATTATTGTGTTTATTATTAATATTTATTTATATTATATACTATATTTATTATTAGTATTTATTAATATTGTTTCTCAATCTATCGCTGTGGTATCTTGTATCTTGGTTGCACCCCCTTCTAAGTACTTTTCCTATCCTAAGGTTGCCTGGAAGAAATTGCTACTTAGCAATAAGGCCGCCGTTGTGCGTATGTTTATCTGTACATGTGTTTATGTTCGTGTGTTTATCTGTGCAATAAAGTATATTCATTCATTCATTCATTCAGAGCATTAAAGATCTGAAGGACACTGTCACTGCACCCGCCACTCTAAGGTAAAGTTGACAAGATCTTTCGTCAGCACCATTACCTTTCAAAATCAAAACGCAATAATAATGCTTGGCTCACATTACTCTTAATAATAATAATAACAACAACAACAACAACAACGACAACGACAACGACAACGACAACAACAACAAAAATGTCACATAAAAAATAAATCAAAGTAAAAATAATAATAATAATAAGCTAAAATAAAATAAAATTAAGCCTCAACTCACACTGGCTC